GTCGTCGTTTTTTCCTTTTCTTTGAATACCATTTGTCTTGCCTTCCTCTATATCTAAGTTTTCATCATTAAGTAGGGGGGCAAAATTTCAGTGCGAAGCTCAACAAAGTCAGCATTTTACTACTAAAAATCTCAACAATTCTGAGAGAATCTCCATGATGCAGTTCAACTCTTACCAGATTCCTCATCCAGATCACTCTCACCACTAGCAGCACCATAGTCTTCATGTTCGTTTTCTGCGGTAGGCTGATCAGAAAGTCCTGCCATGCCAGAGAAATCATCAAAAATATCATCTCGAGAAATCTTAACTAGAGATTCTTTTTAATTTGAAAAAGAACTTCTCTATGAGAAACCTTAGTCCCGCCATATTTTGAACTGTTGTCAACATCCAATGCGATTACTTTCTTCCTCAAAGTAGATACTTCATCATCAGCAGCAAATTTGGTTTTAGAAACAGCCTTAGAAGAAGTGCCTATAACTCATATATTGATTTACTACTCAATAACTTGTAATTAGAAACCAATGGCTAACCATCGATGTCTTCATCTTCTAAATCAGGCAGTTGAAATACAGGTTGCGCGAGTTTCTCTATATCTTTCAAAAAAGACATCTGAAAAAAAGGATCTATTCTATTTCCAAGCAGCACATTGCTAAAGATGGGAATTTGAAAAAGAAAAATGAATTCTAAAATAAAGAATTTGTAAAGTTTACGAAAAATACGACAACGACAGCATACAACAGCTTTCCATTTGCTGATTAGCGTGTGCAGTGGATTCTCGTTAGTGTCGAAAAATTGCGCAAGGTTTGCGAGCAATGGTCAAACTTTTCACAAAGTGGGCAAATTTTCTCCATCGAAGTCTTTTCATATATTAAAGTATTCAGATCACTGTTACTTATATGACCTATGGTTTCAGATAATCTCTTTTCCGTTAGTTTTTACATTGCCTTTCATTTTTGTATACATCACATCAAATTCGTTGGCCACAACTTGTTGACCGTAAACATGCTGTGCCAGAACACAAGGTTTTGGTTTTCGCCATATTTTTCCTAAGGGCGTTTGGCGTTCTGACAAATTTCATTTCCGTTCTGCATGGGAACGCCTCATTAGAAGGGTGTACTTTTGGGACCAAGATCACAGATCCACAGTAAAACACTGCTATGCGGAAAATATACGACATTGGTGATCATAGTGATTAATTCTTTGGAGAACTTCTCAGATCAAGTTATGGTTCTACCCTCTCTCTTCCCTTCCATCCCTCCCTCCTCCTAACGTAACTGCCATCTTCAAAATAAGACGCTTCCACGCAAAGAAATATGATTTTCGTCATCACCGTACCAAATACTTCCTAATCAAAGGCAGTTTGAGCAAAACTCAAACTTCATTTCTGGTTAGAGAGAGAATCAGAAATCAGAATCAGAAGGGAATGATATCCATTGCGTTTATTTTCATTTAAGATTTTATTGAATTATGGCGCTTCGTGTTGATTATGAAGGAAGTAATGATGTAGGAGTGTTCTGCACTTTGACGAATAGCTATTGCCTCGTTGGAATCGGAGGAACTCAAAATTTCTACAGGTACTATTTCCTTTTTCTAGAAAAGTGCCAAAAAGTTGGAAGTTTCAGCACGGTTGAAGCTGAGCTGGCCGATGTAATTCCTGTTGTTCATACATCAATCTCTTCTACACGTATTGTTGGTCGAGTCACTGTGGGTAAGTAGACGTCAGCCTCTTCACGCATCTCCAATAAATTCATTTTTTCAGGAAATCGTCACGGTTTATTAGTGCCAAATGGTACTACCGACCAAGAGTTGCAGCACCTGAGGAATTCACTGCCAGACGAGGTTTTTTAGAAATATTTCTCTAACTCTCTTCTTAATGTGAATTCCTGTACTTAATCATATTTTTCAAGCGACATATATCTTCATATCAGGTAAAAGTTCGACGGGTTGATGAACGTCTCTCCGCTCTGGGCAACGTCATTGCGTGTAATGACCACGTAGCAATAGTTCACGCGGAAATTAGTCAAGAAACGGAAGAAGCACTTGTTGATGCTCTTAAAGTTGAAGTATTCCGTGTCAGCCTTGGACAAAATGCTCTTGTAAGTTTCAAAGTTTTTGTACGTTTATTTAAGTTGATGTTCAAATCCTCTAAGGGGTTTCCAGTGAACAATTACGTTACTGTTTTCACTCATTATCTGTTCGAAACAGACAAGAGCTTCTTATCACTTCAACCAGAAAATACACTCTCAGCTCTTTTGGTTTGTAAATCCAAGCAACTCAACACTCCTGTTCCTGCGCGTCATCAATGTGGCAAAGTTCTCACTAACTTGCCAATGAA